GGAGGGGCGCTTAATATATATGTGACCTTGAACATTACTTAAAGTCTTTGGCTCTAGTTTATCACTAAAATTGAGATAACAGTACATCTACTTCATATGGCTTGTTCTGAGAATTAAAAGAAACTGGTGCATCATAAAAGCTTGTTTTTGCAACTGTCATTAACCAATGGACAATGTCGTGATCATTGTTGTATACGGAGCTTACTAGACTTTACAAACATGGAGGATTAAAGATTTCAAAGCCATCTTATCCCAAACCTGCCTGCTCTCTGAACAGGGAGTAAAAAGGTTACGTTATGGATGTATGCTGTCTCGTTCAGCTTCTCTTTTAGAAACGAGTAGCTGTTACAGTGTCTGTGTTTGCTTTCTGATGTTTGTTACCAAGGGACTGTCAGGATAAAAAGAAGCTTTGCTGAGCTGGGAGACTGTGTAGGAGGTAGACACTCTGAGTTACATGAATTATTTTTCCTCACTATAGCCTCAGAAGCTCCGAACACATAAGTAGCAATCTTTTTTCCTTCTCACTAGGACTGTAGTTAGAAAGAAAGCTTTTAGTTCATCTAGTTCAGTAGGTGTCAAACTTTGGGGCACATCAGCCAACCTAGTATCTTTGCAAAAGAATCACACAGGGTCTGGAGACAAAGCTCAACAGTTAAGAGCATTGGCTGCTCTTACAGAGGACCCAGGTTTTGTTCCCAGCACCCACGTGGCAGCTAACAACCATCCATAATTCCCGTTCCAGAGCGTTAACTTCTTCTGACTTCTGTGGGCATTGTATGTACAGGTGACTTACATACAGGCAAAACACTCATACATATAAAATAAAAATAAATATATTTTTAAAAAGATCCACATGGGACTGGAAAGATGGCTCAGGGATTAAGAGCACTGACTGCTCTTGCAGAGGACCTGGGCTCGATTCCCAGCACCCACATGGCAGCTAACAGCTATCCATAACTCCAGTTCCAGGGGAATCTGATGCCTTCTTCTGACCCCTGCGGGTGTATTTACACACATCCAGGCAATACACTTACACACATAAAATAAAAATAAATAATGATAATAATAATAAAAAGATCCACATGGCACAGTCCTGCCTTTGGTCTGTTCCTACACTTATAGCCTAGAGAACTGCACTTAATAACAGTTTCTGAAGTTATTAGGTTTATTAGGGCAAGGCCAAATTCATGGAACAAAATCCCAGAGAATAGGGTAAAAAAAAAAGTTTGTTTTTCTCTATTGTAACAATGCCCAAATGACAAGTATTTCTGTCATTATATAGCATTATATAGCTGCTTAACAAGTCATTAATTTCTTTTTTTCTGTTCAGCTTATTCCTAGGGCATTATTATTATCTTCATGGTTTAAGGAAGTACATATATATTCATGTCCATTTTGGGGGATCTAGCTATTGAGAAGAAAAACGTGAAGAGTCCAGTGCAATGTGGCGAGATCTGGACTTAGATCCCCCCCAACCCCCCATTGCTTTGGCTCAAGGAGCCTGGGAAAGGAACTGGACTGGGTGCCTTGATGGTGAGGAGGGTTGGTTTGGATGGGTAAAACTTTTCTACAGCAGTCTTGATGCACGCCTAAGTCTAACAGCTCATCCAGCATCCACTTTTCATTCTCTACCATCTGGTGTGCCTGAGGCCCAGCACTTGCTTTTCACTGCAGAACTGTCACTTAAAATAAGTTTCATCGTCTTTATGTTGAGAAAACAGAATAATGGCACATAAGAAAGGTGTGCCCCATGGTAATTAAAAGTACCGGACTGGTGGAACTAACCTTCTTGGATGTTTAACAGCCATACTGTGAGGCCTATACTAATTTGGTCAGAGGGACATAAAGGACAGTTTTTGCTCCTTGCTCTCCTAGGTCGACTAAGTTCCAGGGGACTATGAGCATCTCTCAAAATGTCCTGTAACTGTGGTGAGTCTTGATCAAGGAGGCCATGGAGACTCCATCAAATGGACTTGAACCAGTGTCCAGTCTACAAAGAGGAGGGTCAACACAGAGGAAACATTTCCTCTATGCTTCCAAGTGAAGCCAGCCATTGTCTAGGAGGACCTTTGACTTATGTTCACATAGACGGAACTGGTATAAGAAAGGAGCCAGGGGGCTCCTCCCAAGCCCATGTAACCCCTGAGGAACAGATCCTCAAATGGCCTTAAGAGTAAAAATAAATTGGTTTATCTGGGCCAACTATATGGTCTTAAACACCCAAAAGGAAAGTATAACCAAAGATTAAAGGGGTCAATATAATTTTTTAAGAGCCCATGTGTATAGCTAAAGGCTACATAACAAGAAACAATGCCAGAAAGGAGATACCTTCCTTTGAGTTGTTGGCCAGGGTGTCCCAAGAGACTCCCAGACAGTAACCCAGCATAGAACTGGGAAAATGAACAGCAGACCCCAGTCTTATCTAAAGGAATATTGACAACCGATTGCTGCTAAACGAGGAAGAGCTGATCTTCCTAAAGCAAGGTACTCTAGATAGGCTGACTAGATTCAGCGGATGGTCAAGCACTGGAGAATGGCTGGGGGCGCCAACAACATAGTGGACAGTAACAGGGATGACAGAGAATATGGGCTTCAGTGGGGGTGGGGGGTGCTATGGAAGGGCACCATTTGGGAAGTGGGTATATAGATGAATAAGATTGTTTGGGATGTTCTGTATGATATACACACAAAAAATCAACAAATAAAAAAATGAGTTATAGTTGAAAAAAAAAAAAGGATGTGCCCAATGTGCCAGTGACCTTGGCATCTTACGGAGTCTTCCCAAGCACTCAACTCTCAGCTTCTTTCTCCCCTGACACCCCTTCCATGATGTCTTCATAATCAAGTCTATCTTTCATTTTTCCTACTGACTGCAAAGGTACATATCCTTGTCAGTCACTTTTCCAAACAGATGCCAGGGACACTTGGACTGCTTCTAGTCCGGTGTGGCTCACACGATTGAGAGGGCTTAGGTAAGTGAGAAACGGGAAAGGAAGGGTGTTGAGACCAATTTGCTACAAGGGGGAAGGAAGGGCACAAATTCTGTGGATGGTGAGGCCAGCAGCCTTACAACCAGAGAGGCGGGTAGGCACGAACCGCAGGCTAGGTAAGGTAGGACTGGAGAATCAGGGTCCTGAAAAATCAGCCTGAGAAACTTAAATGGGAAGCTATAAAAACAAAGGAGATAAAAACTTAATGTTTGAAAGCCTTAAGTACCCTGCCCACTGCCCCACGAGGGGTCTTTGGGATGCACATACGTCAAAGGGCGACAAGCTTGAAGAGTCAGAAGTTCTCCCCCAGAGCGCCTGCTTCCTTGAGAGATGTAGAGACGTAGAGCATTTGCTTTTATCTAACAGCTCTCTGAAATGCTCCTACCCTACAAAGAGATGTCTATTCTGGAGCTTTGCTCTTCTTTTCTGGTGAGAGAAGCAGTATATATTAAGAAGGGTTGGTCTTTTCTTGTGCATGGAAAAATAAACTGTCCTAGAGTTTAAATAGCTATTATCCCCGGGGCTGGCATGCCCCTCCACCACAGATGAATGGTGTAGAAAGTACTCACATGTGAGCTAAATCCAAGAGGAGACAGTTTGGACTGATGAACTGCTAGATAGAACCTACCCTTCCAGTTAGTGAGGGTTGTAACAAACTTGCTACATGAAGGTGTCTAGAGGGAACTCACTAAGAACATCTCTGTTCTTGCATCCTGAGTTCTCCTCCATCAGGACCCACACAGTTCCCTTGGCCACTCTCTCTTCTCATAGTCAAACGTAAACTGATTCTCTATAGGCTTGGCCAAACCCACAGAGAATGTGCGTTTAAGCAGTCACATGTCAGCTTCCGTGCTGACGAGGAAATTCCAGCTAAACAGCCCCCACATGTTGTTCTAATGGTACATACTGGTTGATTGTCAGAGTTTTGTAGTTCTAGTATAATGGGAATTCAATACGAATCTGAAGAGCATTGGTATGGTCAACATATTCTGAATGAGTCAAGCACAACATGAAAATGATACAGCAACATGGCATTCATTTGCACGCATGTATTTAAAATTATAACATGAAGAGTGGTCTCAGGATGAAAGACAGGAGCATGAATTTGCATGATGATGAATATACCTGTCTTTCTTTTATGCACAGTTGAACTATGAAGATGTAAAACTGGTACTTGAACATACTACAATATAAGAAAACAAAATTGAAGACCAGTCCTACTTGAAACTTGTCACAAACTTCATAATTCCATCTCTGCCTCCAGTATTTTCCTCTAGTTTGCCAGTCCTCACCCACAGCTGCAGCGTAGTGAGACTTTGCTTGAGTAAAATCTGCAAGCAGGGCTTTGTTTTCTCTTTGCAGCGGCCTGTGAGACACAGACCTGGTGGAGGAACTGGGATTACTTAGTGCTGGAGCTGTTGGCACAGAGTGGAAGCCCTTCTCTGGCATCTCCTGAAGGACAGGAAATCCATAGCTATGGGGAGGCCATCACACTTGGGTGCACACTTCAGTAGTCACACTGGGAGGCGGTCACACTTGGGTGCACACTTCAGTAGTCACACTGGGAGGCGGTCACACTTGGGTGCACACTTCAGTAGTCACACTGGGAGGTGGTCACACTTGGGTGCACACTTCAGTAGTCACACTGGGAGGTGGTCACACTTGGGTGCACACTTCATGCTTACACCTCTTTGAAGGGCAGCCATGATCATATCTCTCATTCACTATTTATCTGGTTTGGAGTGTCTCTCCTTAAATATCTCCTACTACCTGGGTAGACTTGGATTTTTGGCTGTTTAAAGGTAAAAGAGGATGGAATTCAGTTTGTGTGTGTGGGGGGCGTGGATTAGTTACAAGTTTTAATTGACTTGTTCTATGTTGGATTGTTTTTCACTCATTCAGTTAGCACGAATAGAGCTCACTAAAGGCAGATGTATACAGCAGGACAGAAGCAATGATCATAAACATGCACTTCTTTACAAAGATCCTAGTCTCAAAGCCCTGTGAGATTTACAGTTCAGAGCCACTAACTAACCAGCTCATCAGAGAATGGTTCATCAGCACTGTCAATACTCTCTTTAATGAGGTAATGCTGTGGTACTGGCACCTAGGAAATTGTTTGCCTGCCACGACCTGGCACACAGGACTTTCCAGCTCTGGGGTCTCACAGCAGCTTATCCCAGGTTTCCGTCCACGCTTCCAGCTAGAGCTCTTGTCAATTCCATGCATCACCTCCATGGAGTCATGTATTAGGTTATTGCCCAACCTGCATGACTCATTCACTTCTAAGACTCTCCAGGCCATCATGTCGTTGTAGCACTTTTCGTCATTATCCAGACTGTCTCTCTTGGGGATGCTAGAACATGAACCTCTGAATGTCAGGAGTGAGGAAGGCAAACCATCTTCAGATATGCTGAGGCCGATATTTTTATCTGACAGGGTCGAATTCATGAATTTTTCGACAGTCTGCTTTGCGTGGCCGCTTTTCACCATGGCGTGCCGTGCTGCTTCTGGTGAAAATTCTTCTGTAATTATCTCCATTATGTGTTCTGAAGGTTCTACAAGAACCAGTTCCAGGCCAAGCAAGAGCAGAGCGATCTCCATCTCAGATACACTGTTATCTCTTCTGCTGTAAAGATAAGAAGAAGACAAAAGCGATGAGACTATTGAGAAGATGGTTTTCTTGTCCTTGTGACATTATCTCAGTAATGGCTCCTAGATAGAACTCCTGCAACTAGCAAAAGTATGATGTAGTGGGCAGACAATCAGCTGACTCAACACCCACACTAAAATCCCTACTTCTCTGCTTACAATCACTTTACTCTATTTCATTAAATAAATAATAATAAATAGAGGCAACCATCTCACCCAGCACATCCCTCACGATTTCTGTCTCTTACAGCCCCACACAGGGGCTGCACGTGGTAGCCATGTGAACAAACAAAATGCAGGATCATTTCTCTCATTTCTGTTCCCCCCAATTCTCAGTCATGAAATCTCTGTCTTTACCAATTCTTCTGGCAAGTTGATCTTGTAGAGAAAGATTCCAGCTTGCTGCAGGGCTGGAAGTAAAACTGTCTCATACTCAGAGTTTTGGTGATTGGGTCTGATGAGGGAAGGAGGAGCAAGAAAGAGGTAGAGAGATTTGTGTGGGTTTGACAAGGAGACAGAGCGAAGATAGGACGCTCGGGGAGAACTGAACATAGTATGCATTTGCCATTTGGAAAGTCAGCAACCGGGAAGCACTTTGCTTCCTTTCTGTGAAGTCTTCCCTGAGCATTTGTACTTAAACCAGGAGTGTTTGGGGTTTTGCTGGTCTGTTGGTTTTCTTTTCTGAAAGCCTGCAGCATAGCTTTCTTTGCGTTTCAGCGTGCGTGATCTTTTTTGCTATGTGGTTATGTGACACGTGTTGGGCTTATCCTCTTGCTAAGGCAAACAACAACCTGATCCTGGAGCACAGTGTCTGATCTCTGCTGTTGGACACCGACTGTCACAAACACTATGTTCTCAGCAGTGTTTGTCAACAGCATGCCATGACTTGCCCGTGCTGGAGGGTTCACAGCGGGAAACCTGGAAAAGATAGTTGTTTACGGTGGTGATGCTTTCACTCTGGAATGAGCTTTGGGTTTTCTCCCACCTCTGAAAGTCTTCTTACAATATCCCCTGTTCTACTGCCCTCATTTCCTTTCTAACCACCACTCCTCGTCCCTCCAATTCTTTCAAAGCACCACCTCCAATGACACCATCTCAGGATTCTTGGAATAGTTCTCCCTGCCTACAGGACAGGAGGAAATCTAATGTCCTGAGCCCACAAACCAACTCTCTCCTTGCTTACATCCCAATCAAGGCTTCAAGGCTTTCTCATTATTTTGCTGCACAAACCTGCCCTGACCAATCATTGGGACTCTCTCTATCTGAACACATCATGACCCTCCATGTCCCCCTTTTCCCTCCTTTCTTCTCTGCCTCTTCGCACAGCATTCCTTCTTTGACATGTTTTCTCACTTGAACTCACAGTACATTTCTCATTTTTCTAAACCTCTTATATAACTCACTTCTTTTAAACTTTTTAAAAAATTTATTATTTTTTTAAATTTTATGTGTATGCATGTATTGCCTGCATGTAGGTAAGTGCACCCGTGTCGTGCAATGCCCAAGGAAGACAGAAGAGGCTGTCGGATCCCCTGGAACTGGAGTTATGGACAGTTGTTAGCTGGCATGTGGGTGCTGGAATTTGAACCTGGGTCTTCTGCAAGAACAACCAGTGTTCTTAACCACTGGGCCATCTCTCCAGCCCCATAACTCACTTTTGAAAAAGATTGTTTTATTATTTTTAGCTGTCTGTGTGTCTATGTGTGGGTAGGTACATATGAGTGCAGGTGTCTCAGAAGTCAGAAGAAGGTGTCATATTCAGTGCACCTGGAGTAATAGGCAGTGGTGAGCTGTCCCTTGTAGGTGCTGGGAACCAAACTCATGTTTTCCACAAAAGCATTACAGGCTCTTAACCACTGAGCCATCTCTTCAGCCCCTCACTTTCTTTTTAAAGGCAGGGTCTCCTTACATAAAAAAGGATGGCCTGCAACTTGCTGTATACACCAAGCTGGCCTCCAGAAAGCTGAGACAGCAGGCACGCACTGCCACACTCAGCAATTGAGAGATTAGTAAAAACTCAGTGGATGTGTCCATGTGCATTCCTTGAGACTGTGCCTTGAGCATAGACTTGGTACATGTCAGATGGAGGAAGAAGAATTTGTAAGGAATTTATTTTGTTTCCAAAACCTCAGTATCCTTTGCCATTGATATCACTTAGTGAGAAGATATTAGGCAAACAGATTGAGAATGATGAGGGAAACAGGGAGAGCCATGCAGAGTCCTAGTCCTTCTGGAACACGATTTCAAGTGGGCAGGATTCACAGCTGCTAACATTTCAGTTCGAGTTATCAGGGGTTTATTTCAAAAATACACACACACCCAGAGTACAAATGTCTCCATGTCATGATGCATCTGGATGGACTTTGATTCCTATTAAGTGAATATACTGAGGGTGGATTGCCGTTGGTGGACGCTGTTACTTGTACTTTAAAGGGAACTCATTTGTTTTTGAGACTTGTTTTTAAGTAGAATAGAGGAGTTAGAGGGATGAAAGGAAGAAAAGGTAAGGAGGACAAAAAAACCTAGGAATGGGGGAAGAAATCACAAGCAAGTGCCGAAAGGGCGTGTCCTGTCTATCTTTGTTAAGCCTCTTGGGACTCACGCTGCATGAGCACCTGTTGGGGTTCAGATACCGAGAACTCTGCATATTTTGTAGCACTCAAAACTTCAGGAGACAGCAAAGACGATAGACTTCCAACAGGGAAAAGATAACAAAATTCAGATGGAAAGGGGCTGCCTTGAGTGGGGGAAGCGGGGAGACAGTGTTGTGGACTCACAGGCTGTGAGATATGCTTCACCCGGGATTGCCACCGCCTCCTCCATAAATCTAGTCAGTCTTAGAATCAGATACCTAAAAAAAGCTAAGAGCCAGCACAGATGTATCTCCTTTTCTGATAGTACCTTGAATTAAGTCCAAATGGCCAAGACAACTGCTGAAGTCTCTCAACTGAAAAGATCAAGACAGAATGAGCTCTCTGAAACCTGGGAATCACTCACCCTGCTCTGGGCTGCTCACTCGTCTGCATCTCTGATTCTCCAGTATGGAACTGAAACAGAATTAATGGCCCCATAAAACCGGCCCCTACTTGACCATTATCCTGTTTTCTTATTATTTCCCAATCCTAAGCTTCCCTTCAAGAAGCAAAGCTGTTTTCTGAGAAACCTAAGAAGTAGATTGTAGGATAACGGATTTGGAAATGGCCCCAGGTTAACTAGCTGAAGCCCCTGACTTTACAGATGAAAAGAAAACTAGTACTTAGAGGATTAAGGGGAGAAAGCTAATGATCGAGGTTTGGTGACATTTCCAGAATTAGGAGTCCCCATCTGTTTTCCCTTCCCCTCTGGCTATAAGGTTACTGTGCCTATAACTGAATATGGGGTACCTCAATACTGAATTCAGTTGCAAGAACTAAAAGGTGAAGGAGTTAGTAGTCTGGTCTAAAGTCTCTGTTTTCCCCAGAAAACTTCAAAGAAAAGTACTAGCTTTGGAAGTCTCATTCCCTCCTCAGAAAATTCTTATCCATATCTCTCCTCAGTCTTTAGGGGAAATGGTTTCTGACTGGTCAGACTCTTGATTTCCTTTTCTTTTCCTTTGAGGCACAGGGGAGCTGATGAACAAGGGCAGACGCAGTGTGAGCTCTATATTCCATCTGTAGAAAAGTCTTTAAGGCTTCAGAGGCCCTTAAAACACTGTAGGCTCTTGCTATTCCTCTTAGTTTCCGACCAGAACTAGTTGATAAGACCCTACTGCTGTAGATGCTACACATGTTGGATGCAAGATGTAGACTAATCAAGCTAGAACTGGGTTGGCAGATTCTTCCCTGCTTGCTAACTCTCGTGGTGCCAGATGGTCCTATGCAGGCTGATGGGGTGAGAGTGGAGATGGAGGTAACAGCATCGATCCTGACAGGCAAGATGTGCTCATTGGTGCAATGGTGGCACCACTGTTATGGGGTTAACCACCTGATCCCTAATTGGATTTGGGGCTTGTTCTACAAGAGGGAATGCATGCCTAGTACCATAAACCTGATCCAAAACCCATGACTGAAGCGGTCTTAGATCCTAAAGGAAAACCTAAGATGGCTTCTTAGCTGAATTGACATAGCATCCAACCACTCCTTAAATATCCGTTTATATCCATAGACAAGGGTTACTCTCAGCCTTAAAGAAGCCTCTCCTTGCAATGAGCAGAGGTAAATGCAAAGACTCATGGCTGAATAAGATGCTAAGAATAAAGGGCAGTTGAGGACTCAGCCCTAGACAAGACCACACTCTTAAGGCTTGCAAAGCATTTTAGAAGAGGGGACAGAATGTAAGAGCCAGAGGGTGGGGACAGGGGCTGTGAAATACCATCTTCTAAGTACAATTTGGCCATGGCAACCACTTACTCATAGCAGAGGTGTATACTGGTACTGGGTTCACAGAAGTTGGGTCCTCCTAACAGTCAGCTATGGAGAGAGAAGGCTCTCATGGGAACTTACCACATACTGTTGACCAACAGTATTCTGGAAATATTCTGGAAATATTGTCAACCAACAGATTCTGGAAAAGGGAGAGGCATAGTATCTAATTGTATATCCACTGGTTAGTCAACCAGGCTCTGATGATTAGTTCCAAACTCAGGATCACACAAGATGGCACTGATTAAACTTTGTGGGACACTAGACAAAACCCAAACTAGTAAATAGGGAAAGAGATTGTCAAGAATGGGGGTGGGGAGCAGGTAGGGGGTAGGAGGGAAATAGGAGTGGATTGGGGGAAAGTGTTAGACTATGTAATGTGCATGTATGAAACTGTGAAAGAACAAAATTTACTTTAAAAAAAAGTAGACTGTTAACAAAAGAAAGAGTATATGAAGTTGGGAGGAAGAAGACAAGGGTAGGAGAAGAGGTGGAGGGAAGAGGGTCAGGGGTGGATTTGATCAAAATACATTATATGTTGGGTGTGGTGGTGCACACCTTTAATCCCAGCACTCAGGAGGCAGAGGCAGGCGGACCTCTGTGAGTTCAAGGCCATAATGGTCTAGTGAGTTCCAGGCCTGCTAGGGCTACAGGTAGACCTGTCTCAAAAAGACCAACAAACAAACAACACCCCCTCCCAAAATTATATACAGCTCTACAATTCTCAAGCAAAAAAGGAATTAAAAAAGGAAAGTCCCTAAGCAGTGACCCCAACTGTACCTTGTCATTGTAAGAGATAATCATCTATAAGATCAGGGTTGGGATTAGGATAAAGGGAACAAGCCACTCATTCCAGGCACATCCAAAAATCCTCAGTAATCAAGATAAATAATACTGTGAATTTAATGTCGTAAAATTAAATTAGAAAGACTCATGGACAAAATTAAGATTTTTTTATTTTTGGTCTTTGAGACAGGGTCTCCCTGTAGCCTCAGCTGACCTGGAACTTGCTATGTAGATCAGGTTGGCTTCGAACTCACAGAGATCCACCTGCCTCTGCCTTCTGAGTGCTGGGACTAAAGGCATGCACCACCATGCCAGCTAAAATTAAGATTTTCAAATAGGATCTGATCCTATGCTAGTAAATCTCTTAGTACCTGCCTCACCTCCCCGCCCCATCTGATTAGAGCTTTGAAATGGAGATATTTTATATATCAAGGACTTTTGCTATAATTTGATTTTTCAGAATATTGACTTACTGTTGTTTAGATCTTCGTTGGTTTTGAGATGTCTGGTGGTTTTGTTGGTGCCCCCGAAAGTTTTACTCTAAAGGGTCTATCTCACTCTCTCAATTCTGGTCCAACCTCAGACTCACATTTCTTATCAAATGACTCAAAGACAAGGAACAAAACTTAAAACACATGTAGAGTTTATGGTTTAATTCAGTAGAGTTTTTTTTTTTTTAATTGAAGCTGGATAGAGTGATTACAACTCAGCAATGCTGGAAGGACAAATCAGCCACCCAGTCCACAGTTCGGGTCCACCAGAGCAGCTGAGAAAACGGAAGAGAATGCTGCACGCTCGGGCACTGGTCTCGGGTTATTCTACATAGCCCTGGAAACTAACTGGCCCTAAGTCGTCACAAGTGACAATGACAAACCCCTCTCTGGGAGAAACCTTGTACCTGCAGGCAGGATATTTGGTGCCGTCAATGAGCTGACAGACTGTCATTCTGAATCGTGTCTCACTCTGGAAGCAGAAAATGTCAGAATAGTTTGGGCAAACCATCTTCTTGGAAGAAGTGCAAATACTATTGATTTTTTGAGGCCTCTCGTGGATAAAGACATGCGTTTTTTTGCATGTGTGGTCATGTTCCCTGAGGACTCTCTGTAGGATCATGTAGTTGCAGTATCTTAGAGGAACGCCATTCTGAGGATAGTCCACATGCAAATGCTCTATAGATGTTACCACTGCATCCTCATTCACCTCATTTTCCCAGAACAGAAGCATCAGGAAAATGGCCACCATGAAGATCATCAGGGGTAAGATTCCCTTCACATCTCCAGCTTTAACTCCTGTTAAGTAAAGGAGACAGAAAGGAGCAGAGAGAGAGAGAGAGAGAGTCATCAGATTCCTCCTGCTTCAACCCAGGACTGCATCCCATTACTCTGCTGATTAAAATCCTGTTGCCCTTGCAAGATCTAGGTGCATGTTCAGCTCCCACAGAAAACACTTTCAGTCCATTGCAGCTCTTGGAGTGTGTGCCTTCAGCAGACTAATCACTCCCGTGTTTTTTCTTTGTCCCTGCAAGCTCCTTGATAATTCATGCATCTGGTTTCCCCACAAATTTCAAAATGCTTAAACACTGCTCAGATTGCTTTACTCTTATTACTGAATCACTTCCTTTTCTACAGAGATATCAATCCTAATTCCACCTGTTTTCACAAGCTTTTAGTACTGTTTACTAATCAGTTGCTCCCAGTTCCTTTCGAATCCTTCCTGCATGCCTCTGCTTGAGCCTGTGCTAGCCCCTCTCACCTGCCATTCTTGCTGTTGCTCTCATGGGTAACATGCCCTTTCGATCATGGATGTGAGAAAATCCTTTGTTTCTCACTGTTCCTTGACAAGGACTGAGAAGGAGCCAGTTGAGTGTGGGGAGGGCAGAGGAGGAAGGAGCAGAAAGGGAGGGACCTGTGGAGCAGTGCACTTGGGTGCTCGAGAACGAAGAGACGACCTCCAAAGTGAGATGTTGGTAAGGCAGGTCCTGGATGGGTTCTCATTAAACAGCCACAGACTCTTTTAAACCATTTCATGAAGTCTTGAAGCACACTGTCATGGTGTTGCCCATTTGCTGAGTTTTAATCAGTCCTTACAAGTCTGTGAGCTATTTTTCCCTCCATTCATAAAGAAGCAAGTTCCAAGAGTTATAATGGAAATGTACAATACAAAGGCAAGAAGATTTTCACCCTTGCAATGCTGAACACTTGTTCAAGCCACTCTTACCCCCATGTGTGTCTAGCATTGGGTAAAAGCAATTCTCTTGGATTAGCATTAACCTTAATAAAGCCCTGGGCTTCTGAAGAATAAAAACAAACCATGCTGGTTTCCACATTAAGACATCCTGGTTTAACTGATATTCAGTGTGACCTTGGTTTGGGAAGTATTAAAGATCCTCAATGATTCTAATACACAGCAAAATTTGGGAGCCATTTAATTATGACATATTTGGGAAGGTTACATGGAAAATTAATAGATGAGAGCTTAGTTAAAAGCACAGTCCTCAGGGCAGTGAGCCAATAAAAAAAACAATCTTGTCACTATCATCTGGTAAGTTGATATAGGAATGGAGAATTTGACTTAATTCTACTAGTCTTGCTCTAATCTCTCTCTCTCTCTCTCTCTCTCTCTCTCTCTCTCACTGCTAGGAACTGTACTCAGGGCATTGTTCATGTTAAGCAACACACTACCACAATGCCACAGCACTAGGAGCACTAGGCCTTTCTTCCGGAAAGAGCTCCCATCTCTCTCTACACACCTGTCTTTATCATTGGTAAGATCGTTGTTCTTAAAAACAAAAAATTCAAGGAAAGGGCTCAAAAAATAGATTTCTTACTTCTGAGTATTCGGAAATCTGAGACAGGAAAATCTCAGACTTGTGGCCAGTCTAGTCTATATGCAGACCCCCATCTTTAAAAGGCAGAAAGAATCATCTGTTTCATTTAACAACAAAAGCAGAATTTTAGACCATGAAAACTAGCAACCGATAAGCTAATATTTACTTTCCACAAACTCTCATTCTGCTCTTGCTTCAGAACGTGAACTGTCCTGTTTGGAATATGTGCTTCACAATACCACAATGATACGAGTCCACAGTTAATGTTTGACTAACCTCATGTAAAAATTGACTTGCACATCATATTAATGGAGCATGCTGTTGTATAGTATATATGGTGATATTTGCTATAACATGATCACTTTTTTCTATATTTCTATTTTTTCTATATCACTTTTTTCCTGTATTTTGGAAGTATTAACTTCCAGAAATACAATTAAGACTGAGTCCAGATATTAACTAATGGTGGCATCCTGGAAGAAAATGTTTGTAATGTCTAAAACCAACTAAGGATCAGCATTGAGATATATGGAACTTCCCATACCCACAATAAAAAGGCAGGAAACCCCAAGGGGTAAAAAATGACAGACACTGAAAAACCAATTCCAGAAGATGAAGTCAAAACAGGTAATGAGCAGTGCTCAGTTGGTCAGTTTACAGCCACCAGATTATGAAAAACTAGAATATTAAATAATGTCAAGTACTGGTAAGAGTGTTACTGGGCATGAAAATTGGTGTGAAAATAGTCAACAGGGGCTGGAGAGATAGCTCAGCAGTTAAGAGCACTGGCTGTTCTTGCAGAAGACCCAAATTCGAACCCCAGCATCTACGTAGCAGCTAACAACTGTCTGTAACTCTAGTTCTAGGGGATCTGACAGCCTTTTCTGTCCTCCATGGGCATTGCATGACATGGGTGAACTTACCTACATGCAGGCAATACATGCATACACATAAAATAAAAATGATAAATAAAATATTTAAAAAAAAAGAAAATAGTCAATGTAGTCTGGAAGTACTTGGTGAAATGAAGAATATACTAGTGGATGAATATTCACATGGCATGAACAGGATGCTGGGTCAATCCTAGTACTAAGGGAAAAACATCTGTAAGTTAGTTCCTGGTGTTGTGTCTTTAGCCATGTATGTAGGCTGACACAGGAGAATTCCAAGTTCAAGGCCTGCTTGCCTGGGCTGTATAGTAAGACTCTGCCTTGAAAAGGGGGGAGGCGGTTGGGGAGATGGCTCAGTGGTTAAGAGCACTGGCTGCTCTTTCAGAGGATCCAGGTTTGGTTCCCAACACCCTCATGGTAGCTAACAACCATCCTTAACTCCAGTGCCAGGCAATCTGATGTCCTTTTCTGGCCTCCTCAGGCATTGCATGTATGTAGTGTACTTATATACATGCAAGCAAAACACTCATACACATAAAATAAAAATAAGTTCTTAAGAAAAGGTATACCTAAGACCTTGTAATTCTAAGACATCAGTGAGGATGAGAGTGATAGAAAAACAGAAGAATGAAAAAAGTAATGAAACAAAAGAAACAGCAAACGAAATGCCTTCTCTGGACAAAAAGAGCATGTGATAAACTCAAATCTAAAAAAGGGAGGGGAGGGGAACGTGAAGAGAAGAAGGTAAATGAAAGCAAGCAGGCCTGTTTTCCATTATATTTGTCATAAATCTCTTACAACCTTGACTTTGCTGGGCCTTAGGGCCACACACAGGAGACTAGAGGAGGCAGACAGCTGCTACAAACCAAAATTTACATCAGAACGTAAAACACTTGAGAGTTTCCTTAATTACTCATTTTGTCGGAGGAACAAGCTGCACTACAGAACTGCTACACACCAAACCAGCTCCGGTATTGTCTGGTTCTGAGCGCTGGCCTCAAGGTGCCGTGGGTGGCTTCAAGCGCCACCTACAAAGTCTGATTATATTCAGGTCACCCACACAGAGAGGCCATGTGGAGAGAAGGGTTCCCAGCCAGCCACATCAGTTCTGCAGGAAGCTGTAGGGCTTATTTAATGTACTACCAATGCCACTGGTTACCTTTGCTTCTGCGATTTCCACTGCCGTGCAGTTGGCTAGATCCCCCGCCCCCAAGTTACTACAGACGTTGCCCATTTTACTTTCTCTTGCAGAACTTTGCCCTTTCTCTGTCAAGAAGTCCAGTCCACAGCCTTTCCTAGGACATGAGTTGATCTTTATGCAAGTGACCCTATGTGACCTCAGAGAATAGGTCACTTGGCTTCCAAACTTGGTGGTGGCTGTTTTGGTGATGTGTCAAGCCTGGCTAATGCTGAGGCTGATGGAGGGAGAGATGCCCAAAGAGCTCCAGCCATTTGAGTTCCCTGATTCCCAAGTCTTCTTAGCCTAGGCTGCCAAACAAGGCTTGGAAAGCCTATGGGAGGACCTTGTTCCAACACCATATACATGATGCCACAGAGCTAGCTGGTGATGCCTGGTGCTGCAGGCCTGTGGAGGATCATAAGTTCAAGGCCTTCCTGGGCTATGGAGTGAACTCATGGGAAACCAGAGCAATTTAGTGAGACTGTCTCTGAATAAAAACAAAAAGAAGGCCAGGTGTGATGGTGCATGCCTTTAATCCCAGCACTCAGGAGGCAGAGGAAGGTGGATTTCTGTAAATTTGAGGCCAGCCAGGGTTACACAGGGAGACTCTGTCTCTAAATAAATAAAGTAAAATAAAAAGAGGGCTGAAGATATAACTCAGTGGGAGAGCACTTACCTGGAATATATATATATATATATAATATGTATACATATTCCTAAATAGTTTGATTTTTAAGGTAGATATATTAAACAGACAGATCCTTTAAACTAAATCCAGTCCCTCAAGATTTTAGCAAGTAACAGATGCCACTGAAGTCCTCTTGGATAGGGAGCATGAGTTACTACATAAGCAATAATACAAGACTTGTTATATTTGTTATCTGGGCTTAGGAGCAGAGTATTTGCCTAGAATCGGTAAAACGCTAGGTTTGAGCTCTAGCAACACAATAAAATAAAATATCTCCATCTACTACAGAACTTCTGAAGCCTTGCTTACCTCCTCCATCTCCTCTTCCTCTGTGCTGACCCCTCCTGCCCCTCCATCACCCACCCCTCCATGCCTTCTATCTTCATTTCGGTCGCCTTAAAAGGACCTCTCCAGAGCATCTATTCACTTAAAAACCAGTGTTACATTGTGAATGACAGATCATATTTTGCTACCCAGCAGAACAGTCTGACTCCACAGGAGCCTTGGGCATGCTATTCTGTATCACGTGCAACTGATTCTGAGTCTTCGGCCCACTGAGTTGGGGAGAATTTCACCCCTCATCACTACTGTCTCCTCATCCGCTCTGGGCCTTGGAGGACTTGATGTGTATATTCTAATTTGTAACTAAGGGACAAATGTTATCATTCACATGTCGTAAAAACTTC